TTCACTTCACAGGTCAAGAGGGTCACAAAACTGTAAGTAGGTGAAATATAGGAGCTCAGGTGGATAAAAACTGAAAGCTAATGGGTTAATATGACACAAAAGCAGACATATCTGGAGTTTTAGAGAAAAGGGAAGATTGAAAAACTCCAAGCAAGAAAACATATTTTAAATTTGGAGCATCTCAAAGCTCTCTAATAACTTGATTTAAAACTTTAAACTTATCAATCGTGAATCTGGATTCAGATCAATTTTAGGAATCAGACTGAAAGAAAAACTTGAAAACTATCCAGTCAACTTTAAATTCAGCCATTCATAGCTTCACATTTAAGGAGCAGAAGGAATCACAAAAAATCAAGCTAATTATTTGATAGGACAGAAAAATAGAATAAATAAAGGTTAAGGATTTGAATGAAGCTGATTGGCTAATAAAACCAAGCATAGTTTGAATTATGGAGAATAAAGACAGTCCAAAAAAATCTAAATCAAATCAATCAGATGACCTAACATTATTCAGTGTTTGGGGTTGTTTGTCAAGAAATGGTTTAAATTGAAGAGAAATAGAGAAATGGTTATTTGTCCATGAAAACAGACATCATGTGAGTTCAGCCCTTAATTGGTTTTTATATCCTCAGGGAAACAAAAAGTTGACAAGCTGTGTGGTTGGATCAAGTACTTAGGTCATGTGACTTCTTGCCAAAAGTCAAAAATTTACGCAAAGTTTGTCTTAAAACCAAAAATGTTAGCATGCAGGGTCAAAAATATGCATTATGAAGCAATGTGTCATCATTTTGTTTTACATTTTTCATATCTTGGGGAGATTTTGTTTTTAAAAATGTTTCTTCAGAGGTGATTTTTTTTTGTTCTGGTTAAAAACATCAAATATGACTTTTTATAACTTTGAAAATCAGGTGTTCAATATTTTTATCCAGGGGGATTCATTGCCTAGATAAAGATATAAATCAAGGAAATTTACCAACAAGAATGAATTTCTTTTTTATTGCCTATAATCACTCAATGACATTAAGCTATGAAATACTGATAACTTAATTATACTCTAAAATATGTGACTGATAAATGTAAATACACACGTGCACATACAGGAGGGTTAATGTAAAATTATAGAACGTTGGGTGAAATGTTAAAGTTATAACCTAAATAAACAACCTGGAAGATAAAGAGCAACTTGTATTTGGAAAACCATCATGAAAATGTTCTTTTTTTTCATCTGTGAAACATGAGAAAATAAGAGTTAATACATTTTCTGAAATAGTCATATGTGCTTGTGTCAAAAAATTTGACTTCATATAGATTTTGGAGGAATCAGGAATATACAAAGACTTTGTTAAGTTTGTCAGTTATGAAAAAACTGTAAAAATAATTTATCGTTAGGGATGAATGAAAAGATATCTAAATCTGCACCTGAGATTAAAAAACTCAAAAGCTAATCCATTTACCGGTCAAAAACAGGTGTCATTTTCATTTTGAGGGGAACCAGGTTTAATCTGTTGTTAAGATGTTTCAATAATTTCAAAGAATCAGGAGAACGTCTTCTTAGAGGTAAAAACAATGACTGAAAATGCTAATCCGCTAATTGTCAGTAAAACCAGACGTAATTTAAACTGTATAAAATTCAGATCCAGGAGTGAGTATTGAAAACAGGCTTTTCAAAAAAAGGATAGAGAATATTCAGCCTATCAGGTATGAATAAGGCTAATAAATCTATTAACATGAAATACCTGAATGATATTAAATATAAACTAAACTATGTATGTACATGGACTGTCTCCACATGCTGTTAATAACATGTGCAGGAGATAACGTCACTTTAAATCCACCCTGACCTTCTTCTTTTTCTTTGTCGGGCATTCACATAAAGTTTACGATAAGGTGAACATGTCTTATTGTGCAGAGTTCCCACAGACCCAGATATAATTCAAAGTTTTAGAGGAAAAACTGATAAAGCTAATCAAACACAAACCCGGCATAACTTAACTTGGAGGGAATTAGAACGATGAAAAAAGGACAAAGCTTATCAGCCAGTCAGTAATAAAACCAGACACTATTCCATCCAAGATCCTGAACCTTTATTGTGCTTTTGTACGCAGTTTCCTGCATGTTTTGTTTAGTCTGTTATCTGAACCCTGAGTCTGTAATAAAGTTTGATTTGCACTGAAAAACATCAAGCATGGCCATCCATTAAACCTTATAATGTATCATTGTGTGTTTGTCATCCATTAAATCTCTATAGAGTATTATTGTGTATTTGTTCCAACACAAACAGCGTTATGCGCCGGAGCATGTTGACAAAGCAGCCACGGCTCATTGCAGTGTGATGGATGGCCGTGTGTGCCATGCTAATTATTAGTACACATTAAAGGATGCTGTTATTTGCAGAGCAGGCCCAGCAGGTCCCAGCCGGAGGGGTCAGCGGGTAAATACCGAGCCATCAGTCTGCGACCATATCACTCAATCTTGATGTATGAGCACAGAGGTACAAATTAAACACACGGCGACCTTCTAAAGGGGGGGTACTGCACTCAACAGGACGCCATTTGGGCTAATTCCTGCACAGGGTTGGGACAATAGGCCACTATACCACATGGTGTAATTACTTTGTGTACACACATCTGGAATTAAGCTCCCAGAGGAGGCTGATACACTTAAAAAAAGAAAAAAATGAGCTATTTTAGATGTGTAAAATTATGTATGTGCAAGAGGAAAGAGCATGCAAATATTTTCTCTATATTCTTCTACTTAGCTTTAGCACTGTGAGGAGTTTCAAGCTGGTTATGAAACAGACTGAAAGTAATAATGTTGCCTCTTTACAGCCAGCAAAAACAAACAAACCCATCTTTGATAAGAGTCATTTTTCCACATACTTATTTTTAATGCCTGTGTCCGCTGCCACCAGCTGCCACCAAAGCAGCAAATCGCAGCACGCCTCTGAAAGAGCGCAGATTTTCATTTCATTTTTTCCACTGAAATAATTCACAGAAAGTGATGCGTTTCAATGTCAAAGGAAGCTGAAGGAGAATACAACCACGCACAAGATAAATAAGATGAAATGTAATGGTTTGCAACTTTCTTTTTTTCTTAGCTTGTGAGCGTTAAGAAAGAATGAGGGATGACATACTCAAAGTACTGACATGACCTAGAGTCAACCCTGTGACCGGTGCAAGGAGGCCTGAAACTTCTGTATATGAGGCGCCGACTTTACAAGCTCAGCTCCACCGGCTCAACAGCCATGGCTCATTACATCTTCACAAAAGTATCTGTACTTTCTTCATCACAACAAAGGGTCTCAATCAATGACACCTCTGAAAGTACTGAAGGGAAATGATGAACTATTGTGGCTGATTTCAACATAGATGCAGCTGACACTTTGGGAACTTAAAAACTACTAAGTAAGGGGTATAAAAAAAAAATTGGCTGAACGCAATGATTCCCCAACTGGGTTGTAGTCTTCCTATGAGGAGGCTGGAGCCATGACAAGGCTTGTATAGTAAGAACACAAACTACTTAACAGCAAACAAAAAGTTAAAGAACCATTGGTTTAAAGGTAACATCATGCACCCCATGTAGAGGCTATTATCTGATGAGAGGTGTGGGTTTGATTCCAGCTGGTGGCCCTTCAACGCCATGTCATTCCCAACTCCATCCTAAGTCCTAAACTCTGAATAAAGGCATACAAGCCCTGAAAAAATGCATAAAAAAGATACTTTTTGGGAGTAAACAGGCCACAAAAAGTCACAGGCAAGCAAGTCTATCTCAGGAGTTAAAGCGTTATCACACACAGAGGCCCCAGGGTGCAATTCCAGCCTCACCCATTTGCTGTATTTTATTCACTACTCTCACTTTCCAATATTTCTTCAGGTTTTAACGATCCCATTACAACAATGTTTTCCCCAAAATAATGTAAGAAAAAATAACATGCATGTATTCAATGTCCATCACTAAAAGAAAAACAAGAATTGATGTCCATGCAGAATCGCAGCAGTCAAGGATTCACCATCTCTATGTAATCTAAACAAGCGAATCTTCATTATTTTGAGTTTTTGTTTTGTTTTTATTTCATTTTAAGAAAGAATGAAAAAAGTCAATGTGAAATTCTGTTAGCTTAGCAAAGAAACAGCTCGTAAAAATATCCTTTTATAGGGCTGCTTTTAACTCAAACATAAGTACACTAGAGTTTAAACTTTTTTACGTTCACTGCGGTAGAAAAGTCAAATCTTCTGTTTCGGTTTTTCATACACAACTATCTGTTCTTATTAAGTAAAGAACATATGTTCTCCTGCACCCTCTGTGTTTGCCTATATGTGTGTGGCGGAGGAGGAGGGGCAATCTTTGACTGTAGATGCAGATGAACAAGCGCTAACTTTTGACCCCCTCATGTCATCTTCTCAAAGTTAATCATCACCGTGGAAACAAGAGAAAAGATCCTCTATGAGCACAGAGCTCAGAGGAGATTACATGTCATAAATACAGAATCCCTCAAATCTCTGCTATTTTCCCTCCTCACTTACAGGCCTCCCACTCCGGTTACGGCCATCTTGCTTCTATTTGACGACGTTACACATTCCCACTCTCCGTGCCGAGCCGATCTGTGTCATTTTGACGAACACAAGCAGAGATATGGACCCTGAGAGGGGGGCGACGGGTTCTGGTTGCATCTGGATTTTATAGCAGCTCAATTTTCCGCGCTGGTGTTCGGCTTAGATTGGATGTGATGAGCCGGGGTTGTGAATGCGGTAGTGTACGGGAGTGTCTGCGTAAGACTGATATTGCTATTGATCCACATGTTGAGGCAGCTGCAGAGAGCAACATGTGAGGGTATGAATCTGCATCGAGACCCTGACAGTGTTACCATGAAAACACGGTTATTTCTGTCTGATTTTATGTGTATGATAAGACAACACATTACCACAAAGGAGCTGTATTTCTCTGTGCATGCAATTCAAACTCCCGCCTGCAGCTAGACAAGCTGTAAAAGTACTATAAACTCAAGTACAAATATTTATAACTTTATTGATAGTTTACTTGTACAAGATGTACATTCATATTTTGTGAATCAAAAGGGGGGAAAACAAACAGTACGATGATTCATGTTTAGGCATGCTTGCATGTAAAATGAGAGTCATTTGAATGGGTACAACAAATTCCATGGAGTATTGTTCAATTCAACCATCCCTGAAATGTTTGTAAACTCGGACACGCTACATTTTTTTTTTTTTCCTTTAGGCAAACAATGCACTACAGCCACACCTCCTAATTCAAATTTAACACTTAAAAAAAAAAAAAAAAACATACAAAAATAAATGCAAAGCAATGTAAAAATGTACACTTGTAGCTCAACTATTTTATCTTTCATAAACTTTCAGACAAAATAATAAATAAAACACCAATATGTTTAATTTAAAATGGAGACATAGATAAACGATTCTAAATGGAGGTCTGTTCGCAGAGGAAAGGTGGTTTTGGAGACTGTTAGAGGTACAGTGATCTGAAACAGATCGACATGTGTGGCGCAGCTCTGACAGCAGTGTGGAAATGTTTGTGATATAATCCTTGAACTCCAAAATAATCAGAAGGTTTGTTTTTGATCAATTTGTTAAGTACAGAATTGTTTTGAAATGAATGATAAAAAGTCACATCTAACATGCAGAATTAAGCTAATCCTGTTGTAAACGACTGCTTGGTTTTGGTTTACAGTGCCGATTTATTGATCTCAATTGAAAGATCTGTGTTTCTAATGTTCGCGGAGTAGCAAATAGAGATTTTGAATCATTTTAAACCCAAATATATCCAAAAATGTGCTCAGGTTTTCCTCAACATCTGAACTGAATGTATACAAAACTGCTCAAACGCACACAAGAGGATATTTGGAATATGGCACCTTGTCATGATACGTGACTTTTCTCCAACTCAATAAAACACTCAGCTTTAGAAAAACCGGTGTGTTTGGCAAAGAAATTCAACACTCTCAACAGTGCATGAAAAAAAACAACAAATGAAAAATCATTGGGTCTCTTTATCGTTGAGGATTAACTGCTAGCTGTTTTTTGTTTTTGTTTTTTTTTTTACTTTTTTTGCTATTTACAGTATTGCACTTAAACTGCACACCATTGCATTTCAGTTTGACTGATGCTTTCTTCATATTTTCAGAATTACAAAAAAAGAAAAAGAGAGAAAAAACAAAAACGCTTTTTATACCCTTTATCCAAGATAATGTCCTTTTTGGGAATCACATGACGATATCAAACCCTGCCCCCTTTTCCCCCGTTTTTTTCATTAGTAAAGTAGTATCTGCTTGTAGTGCCATTTGTAAACACCCACATACAAGACCCTGAAGTGCAAAGGCTATCTTCACTTCTTTACCCGGGATACAACACAAGAACGAGAAAGAAATAAAGACAGAGAGAGAGAATAAGAGAGGGGGGGTAACATCTTTCCGTTCTGCAGCAAAGGAACAATAAAGTTGTTGCTTTTGTTTTAGCACAAGTCCAAAGAAGAAGACGGGTATCGAACCGTAATGGAGAGCTTTCACTTTGCAGAGGAGGGGGGGGCTGTGGGCATGGAGAACGGCAGTGTTAAAAACAGCTGTTGAGCGTTTATGTCAGGTGTGGTCCTCCTTTAGAGCTCATGCACTCTGCAGCAGCAGGGAACACAGTGGTTGGAGACAAATATGGCCGTTTGTTACTGTTTCTGTTTTTGTTTTTAAGAGTGAAAGTGGTGGAAGAGGGGAGCCCGGAGAGAGGGGGGGAGACGAGCGTAAAGGTGAGAGCACTTCCAAACGCTTCCGTGAGTTGCTGTTTGAGTCCACAAAAAAATGTTCAACCCCGTCTGTATTGTCAACACAACAGCGAGTGTGAGCGAAGGCGGCTCTGCTTTTCTGGCCCTGCTGCTGCTGCTGTCTGCCAGTTTGCTTTGTTCTAACGTCGTCTGCTCTGTCGGGGCCCCGGACCCCCGGCCCTCAGACAGACATCCACATGTGTTTGTACGGTCCTTGGGATGTGATCTGTGCCTGGAGTGGACTGAGCCACTGGCCCCGCAGAAGTCCTGCCTGTTGGGGCGAAAAGTAAAAGGTGATTTCACTGGTATTTAATTACCGTTTCTCTACAAGTGGTTTGTTTTGGCAGCTGGTTTTGTGACAATTTTCTCGCTCCCCTCCTCCTTTTTTTTTTATTTTTTCCTCCCCCTCTCTCTCTCTTTCTCACACACTCTCTCTCCCCCCTCTGTCTGTATGTGTTCCTCTCTTTCATTCTCACTTCTCAGTGTTTTTGTTTAGTTTAGTTTTAGCTGTGAGTGTCACGGCCCTTTCACAGGCTCAGTCTTGTGTGAGAGGCGATTGTGGGCATCAGGCGAGCGGAGAGGCGGCCCGGTTGGGGTCAGAGTCCCAGAGCCTCGGCGTGTTTTCTTGCCTTGAGTCGCAGGTCGGCGATGCTTGAGTTCTTGCTGTTGCTTTTGGCAGCTGCTGCCACCGCTGCCGCCGCAGAGGCCGAGTCAGCCAGCGAGGCGATTGGTAGTCCGAAGGGAGGGGGCGGGAACATCAGGTAGGGAGCGTGAGCGGCCAGGTGAGGGTGCAGGTGGGGGTGGGAGTGGGTGACGCCGTCCAACTGGAGCTGGGCTTGGACCTGCGGGGACGGGAAAACACAGAGTTAGACAGGCCTCATGTGTTTGTGTTTGTGTGTGTGAATGTGTGTGTGAGGATTTAGGTTTCACAGTCTGACACCATTAAACTCCCCCTCAAATGTTACCCCCTCGGAGCTGTTGCTTACTCTGTGTTTTCTAAGAAAATAGTTAAGGCTGCACTCTGCGCTTTAGCCCTTTTTTCACGTCAGCTATTCTAAAAGTTAATGAATCATACATTGCTCTCAGACACCACATCCAATTTAATCGTCCAGAATCAAAGTGTTTCTAGGACCCAAAACAGATTTGTTTAATTCAGACTGAGAACTCGCTTATACCCTTGGAAATATGCGAGTCTTGTTATCCTGATTATGTATTCAATTGCATAAATAAACAATTTTGCACTAAAAAGATATTCACATATTTGGAGTTATAAATATTTATCCAGACATATTCCTGAGTCGATGGGGGAAAAAAGGGAACCATAAGGAGCATAGAATATCAGTTTTCACATTCTTGGCAATTATTTTATAAGAAGTAGGTGAAAATTAAGCATCCAGTAACTTCAGAGGGAGAGAGCTGAGCCTGTTGCCATTCCTCATGTGTTTCAAACACCGCAGGAAGAAGTGGGGAAAAACTCAAGTGTTCGAGCTTTCTACTCCAACCAAAATAGAACGATTTAAAGTCAAAGTTTTAACTCCGCCAAATATTAGTTTCTCACTTTGCCTCCTTTCATATCTGGGGGGGGGGGATAAAAATACTGAAAATGACTCATGTTGAAGTTGTTAAATGAAAGGGAAAATTAAATTTGAGCTGCACATTTGAAGTTGCTCAGCAGCATCCAAACACAGCCAAACAACAAACGCTTCGATAAAATCTTTTAGGAACAATCCACGAACAAACAGCAGCTTTGGATGAGAACTTTCAAATCTAAATGATTGCATTTAAATGAAATTCGATTCGAATGTAAAAGCCTTGATGGAAAAGTACAAATTAGCTTCTCGAAACTTTGACAGAATCGGACCCATCCCTGACAAAACAGGTGGTGACTGCTTGAAATTCTCGTGCATCACGCTGTGTGTATCATGTTTGCAGCCGTGGAAGTCTCGCACACGCACACACATTCACAGCATTCATATTCTTGAGTTTACCAAGCAGCTTTCCTTACTTTTGGTAGATGGGAGGAGAAAAAAATAAGAATGCAGACATGCTAGGAAGGTCCAAGGCCAAATTCAAACCTCAAATTTTGCAGAAATCAACTCGTGCACCTTAACCCACCACACCATAATCCATTCCCTAGTTGAAAATGCTGCATTGTGATACCAGTGCACCATTCCAACCTCAAACAGCACTCCTATCTCGGTATGCGGGCCTGGAGCCTCCACCCCTGCCAGCGCAGCTCAACGCCAATATCCATCAGAGCCCACTCCATTCCCCCCGCTTTCATCATCTCTTTTATGTGCTCGCGCCTGCCTGCCGCACTGTTGGCTTAATTAGGCCGCTGCTTTTTCACAAGGGGTCAGGCGGACAACACAGCGGGCCGGGGGACGCGGAGGCAGAGCAGCAGATCAGATGTCTGTCCACCTCCCCGACCCTTCTCCTCTCTTCTGCACACAGTCAGGAGGTGAAAGGTGCAGCAAGGTCTGACTGCTCCACTCTCACACACACTCCAATTTCTCTCACATTAAAGCTGCATAATGTCTCAGGTTCACGTGTGAAATTATAGAGGGCCTTCACAACATGCAAACCCTTCAACACACACACACTCGTACCTACAACTGAGGAATCTTTGACCTGTTTACTTTTTGTTTTGCATCTCTCCTCCCTAAAACATGCTGAGTAACCACTTTTTCTCAGCAGCCCAGCCTCTATTTTTGCTCGTTTTCTGCATTTTTATATCCACTTCAAGTTTGTGTTCCTGTTTAAACATTTGACAATTTCAAAGCTTTGCAAAAAATATATTCCCTACCTGTTGGAAGGGCATCCGCAGGGCGCCCATGTTGACATAGGGTGCTACTCTGCACGCATCGAGGTGACTGCCAGAGCCCAGAATAACACCTGGAGAGAAGGGAAAGATGTCTGTCAGACAGCCAGACAGTTGTTGTTATGTGAGATGAGGAGGTCAAAGTTTTTTTTGTTTGTTTGTTTTTTACACATGCAGTTAAAATGGTGTCAAATTTAAGAAAATAAAATAAAAGAAGAGGAACTGAGAGGAAAAATATTAATAAAGAGGTTATGAAAGGCGACTTTCGGTTACCTTTGTGCATCTGGTTCTCTTGTTTTCGACATTTTGCTCTTCTGTTCTGAAACCAGACCTGAGATAGAAAAAGAAAATGATCTGTTAGGAAAAAATATCAAAAGACTGAATGCAGCGTTTGACGAAAAGCCTCTAATAATATTCTTGGTTTTAGTCACAGTGCCTAAAAAAGGCCATTTAATGTGTACTATAAAAATAGGGGGAAAATCATTTGATGGCACCAGTCACCTTTTAGTGCAAAAAGAAAGAAAAAAGTACACTGTGATGAAAGAAAATACAGAAAGGGTGACAATTATGAAGGCCACCACAAAAAAAAATAAAAAAGAAAAGGAAAAAAGAAAGAAAAATAAAACCACAACATGACTAGACTCCACAGTAAATCCTAAGGGGAACACTTAAGCAACTTTAAGTTAATAATACAGTATAAGAAAATGCCAACAAACTTAGCAAAGAGAAGATAGCATGGCCTCAAAGAAGGGTGTGATTATCAGACTATTATTAGTGAGTAAACCCTCCATTAAACTAGCCTTCAGTTTGTTGTGTGTCTTCAAAGCTTCAGGCTAGCTCCTATTGTTAATCATCATCATCAAGCTAATTCAGACGGTGAATAACATTATCTCCCCTCCCCTTCGACCCCGCAGTCATTATCATTTACTGATGCCAAATTAGCGGCTGGTCGTGGGCCACAAAGGGCGCGCGTGATAATGATGAAAACGATGATGATGATGACGACGACGACGAGTCAAGGTGCAGCTGAGCACGTGCGCGGAGCCATTTTGGAACATCGACGACCAACATTTATTATTAACAGGACAGTCGATAAAGTTTGGAGACCAAGACAAGACAGAAACAGAGGAAAAGATGAGGAAAATTACCTTTTTGGCTTTAAAAAATAAGTTAAAAAATTATTTTTTAGGAGAAACACGATGTGGAGATGTCTCAACACAATCTTCGCGATTACAATCGACGTCAAGAGATATTTTCACAATAAAATGCGACTTTATTAAAAATATTACGGCGAAATTAATCATTCATGAATATTTTCAAAATAAAAGTAGAGGTTTATGATTTTTTTTTAATGAAATGGCCCTTTCAGTGATTAAATCTAAAATAAGACAGTGAGGAAGTATCCCACTAAAATTAAATTTTTTTTAATTAAAATGAGACATTGAGGAATATTTTAACAATATTTCCATAGCAGAATAAGACGGTTTGATGCTTTTTTTTTTAGAATGCAACGATTTGAACATTAATTCAAAATGATAGATAGATAGATAGATAGATAGATAGATAGATAGATAGATAGATAGATAGATAGATATATAGATACTTTGTTAATCCCAGAGAAAAATTCAAAATGCTGTATTTTTTAAAAAAAATGTTACTATTATTATTATTATGATTAGTATTTTTTATTATTATTATTGTTATTATTGCTCCTGAATATAGTGTGTGTGTGTATGTGTGTGTGTGTGTGTGTAAGCAGTTGTGGCTCCAGCAGTAAAAGATGCTCGAAAAAGTGTTAATGAGAGTCTCAGGTGATTTTGCATAGACGCACAGCAATCCCTCAGATAAATCAAGGCTAATATTAGATGGGCCCGAGATCAATTCCAATTACGCGCCAGTATGTTAAGCAAAGTGAACTACACTGGTTCAGACAGTTATTTCTTCATTAAGGGCCACTCAATGATGCGCTTCACAAATACCCTAATCTCATTTCCTTTTTGATTTTTTAATAGAGACAGTGAATAATGACATTTAATTTAGCAGCGCGCCAGAAACCCAAAGATATTAGTCCTAACTGAATTAGTGCCTGCTCCTCACCAAGCTCTCATAACTTTCAATTAGATTCATTGACAGCTGCTCGGAGCGCGTGCAGGTTTTTCCTCAGCCTACACGAGCCCTGCTGCGATTTCCCAGCCTCTAAATGTGGAGAAAAACACCACATAAAAAAGTGACTTTAAAGGAGCTTTACAGAGTGAGGAGAGAGAAAATAAACAGCCTTTCTGTGTGTTTCAGGTCACAGCAAACACACACACACAGAGTCTTTTTGGTTGTTTTTTTTATTATTATTTCTTTTTTTTTATGGACAACCTTGAAAATATCTTAACACCCTCATTTAACTTTGCTGGTAATCGTTGCACATTATCACCTTCTTCTGACAATGTTCAGCTCCATATCCAGCCTCTATGTTGGCTCTTGTTTACCAGATTAGATAGCTGAACAGCAGCACAGTTGGGCCGAAATCGAGTTATTTCTAATCTGTTTTTATGGGGACACTACATCAAGCCAATGGCAGATATTACAAAGAAAATGAGGAGGGATCCGAGTTGACATAAGAGCGCGTCCCCTGAAGCAGCCATTCAGGCTCTTCATTCATTTTAATGATTGCTTTGGATTTCTTTCTTCTTGCTACTTCTCCACCCCCTGAAGGCTGCTGGGATCGGAGAAGTGTTTTTGGGTTGTGCAGGCCTGCAGCTGTAAGTTCACGAGGTTGTTAGGTCCCGCGCGATTTGCAGCAGTTTACACTTGTTTGATATCACTCACAGACTCATCGATACTACAAAATAAAAGCACGTTCGTTGTTATTGAAGAACCTCACTGCAGGTAAATTAGAGCAAGAAAATCCTGTGCAGTTTGCATGCAAAAGCAGTTTAATTTCCAAGCTTGTGAATTTTTATAGATATAAATAAAGCTTTTAAACTATATTCATAAACACGATAAATCCACTATGAATTTCCTGAAGAATATTACAATAATATTTCTGATATTATTCATCTCCTGGGCTTGTGAGGTCAACCTGCACACCAGTGAGCCTTTCATATTTCAGATCTTTAGATTTATTTTATGCATTTTGTAAACTGACTTGCATCTTAGTAGCACAAAAAAACAGGGGAAACTCGCCATAAACGTGACACAATATATATTTATATTTATTCGTATTTTTAAAAGCACAAAAAGGTTGTCCAGCTCCACGCCAAACTTTGTAATCTGCAATACTGTGCATGATTCAATGTGTAAAATAAGATGATCAATATTTGGTTTGCAGGAATTGTCACGCAGCACTATTTTTTATTTTCATCTACAGTGAATTAATGCATTGTTAGGACATTGATAAAACTCTAAAATGGCGCGTAAATGGCACTTCAAACCTGTATTTTATTTGCTTGAACATTCCGAGGATAAACAAGGTCCTACAATAGCTCTATTCTTATGTAAAGATAGCAAATGGACAGGATGAACCCTGTACACAGGCTCACAAACAGTCCCTCAAGGAATGTTGGTCCAAATAAACATCCTTTCTCAATTGTGGCTCACGCAGCAGCAGCTTCACGTATGCACGCCATTTTTTAAAAATAAGAACAGTGCAGACATAAAAAGAGAAAAGAAAAGACAAAGAGAGTTTTCTAACCTGCACCCTGGCCTCGGACAGTCCCAGTCGCTGGCTCAGCTCCTCTCTCATAAACGCGTCCGGATAGTGCGTCTCGTCGAACAGCCGCTCCAGCTCGTTCAGCTGCTCCAACGTGAAGTTCGTGCGACTCCTCCGCTGCTTCAGTTTGCCCTGAGCGTCTTCGTCCTCGGACTTCACGTCCTCCTTCTTCTCCTTACACTCGTATATCCCTGTTTCACGGCCCGCAAGAAACACAGTAGAGAAGTCAGCCTCTTCGAAGAACTGCATCAACACTCAGACATGCATTACTGGCCCCCGTGTACCCACACTTGGCCCTCTTTTAGGGGGGCCTCAGGCTTGGTAATTTGGCAACAGCGCATACATATCTTCTGGAGAGAGGCCTGTAGCAGCATCTGCAGCCTCCATAAGTCTTAATGTAATGTCAGAGCCGCTATAGAAGTGAATCAGTCAGCCATGGCATGTAAGCCTAATAAGGTTATAGGCTATTCAAAGAGCAGAGAATTAAGCCCGGGATAAACGGCAAAGATCTTTCCTTCTTTTAAAACACACACAGAAGGATAGATGAGGCTTTAAATACACAATGCCACTCTTAACATTTCATCAGAGGACTTTAGAAGTACTTTGAAACCTTTATATGTCTGAAATTTACCCCGTTTAATACGCTGCAAGGCTGCCAATCAACTATAGGTTATGAAGAGTATGTTATTATTCCATAACGCACTATGAGGCATGCGCTGGTGAAAAATAACACACCTGACAGGTGATCGGGTAGATTACATCCCTTGTTTTTCCATATTTCTTTTTCTTTTTTTTCAGTAGTTTTTTTTTTTTGTTCTGAGTGGCCTAGATAAATTTAATTAGAAGATGTAATAAAATATAAGGTGAGGTGATAATTAATGCTGTGCTTTTGGCTTGTAGCTGACAATTAATGAAAAATATAAGGCAGAGTAAAGAAGAACATTCAGACGCTTTTCCTGCTCCTGCTGTAGGATAAATATAGAAACAGGTAAAAATAATATAGATGTCACAATAAATGTCTGAAACTCTACACACTATATCTGACTGCTGGGTGAATACAGGCCTGTCCAGCAAATAGACTCTGGATAATCTATAAATAATGAAGATATATGCTTTTCAGAATTTATAAAGAGTGCGTTTAGTGTTTGGTTATTTAATTTTAGAGGAATTACAAACTCTAAAAATGACACTCAGAGAAGCATCATGCAAGAGGATTACAACCGTGCTGAGTGTTATCGTAAAAGTGAGCACTACTGCACAATTATCTATTAGGTGAAGGTTTCAATAAGAGCAAATCAAATCAAGTATTTCCCACAGAAGAGGATTTTTACTGTTAAAGTATAAAAGAGAAGAAAATCGACGAGAGGAGGTTTCCACTACACCTTCTCTAAAGTCGCCGAATATTTCTTTTTTTGCGCATAAAATGAATTATACATAATTAAATATAATAAAAATAGGTAAAAACACATGTTTTGCTTGTTTTATTAAATGATACATTGGGGTTTAGTTTCGCGTAAAACTCCGTCTGTGAAAACTAAAAAGCAAAGAGTTAAAAGGAAGAACAGACCACGAAGGGCCCGCCTCCTGCTTTATGAAATAAAACATTTTAACACCAGAATTTTGTTTGATAATTGTAAATCTACCTTAACGTTACGTGTATTGTGTTAGAGAGTGGCGTGACGCGTGGATTTGTTTGGATTTGTGAAAAGCGAAGCCGTCGCTCTCGGTAGAAAACAACTGAACTTGAGACATTTCCCCCCAAATACACAAACACGGATCAGTTCCTTACCCTCTGTCGCCCTGGAAACATTAAAGTCCTTCAGTTTCTCCTTTTCCAGCTCGACATGGTCCTTGAACAGATGCACCGGGCAGCCCTCCGTTATGTCCTGCAGGTTCGTCTCCGGGCTGCCCAGCTCACGCGCCCTCGTCAAGCCGCTCTCCAAAACTTCCCTGTACGTGATACTCTCTTTGCTGCTCTCCTTGGTTTTCTGATCGAAAGATTTCGACACGAATGCCGTAAGTTCTTCCATGGCTCGGGTTCGCTCAGTAGTGGTCCTGGTCCTGGAAATCCACCGTGAAGTCTCGGGAGTTAAGGAAAACCTCAGCGAACCAGCTCTGCACGCGGATGAATGCGCTCGGGTGTTTTTTAGGAGGCTGGCAGCAGCAGCAGCAGCAGCGATAGACAGGAGAGGGGTGGAGAGGAGGTGAGATCACTCCTGCTGTTGTGACTGTGTATTTGAGAGCACACTATTTATACACGGCCACCTCAAACCCAGCCCCACACCCACCCATACCCCCCTCCACGCGATCTCTGTGTCTTGAGCAATTACAGGCCGCCTCGACTTTGCAGAATTCAACTTTCAGCAGCTTTTTTTTTCTCTTCTTCTTCTTCTTCTTCTTCTGCTACAAATCAATGGTGGAGCTGATGGAGGCGGTTAATTGAATTACGGGGTCATTAAAATGCCCGCGGTGGCTCACTCCTGTGATATATATGACTGTTATGGATAATTAAATCAGCGAAAATTTCATTAACACCATTATAGAGGATACAAATGCTGGTTTGTGGGGTTGCCCCATGATTTTTTTTTTTTGTGTGTGAGTTGATAATTATGTTAGAAGGCTAATCTGGGCTCAACGAGCCACCTCTAACCTCTGGTGTATCAGCTGATTGGACTTTTCTCTAATATGGAGTTAGTGAACAAGCGTGGATATATTCATCAGAATTTAAAGTGGTTGATTTATTGATAAAATATTAAATGTAACTCAATGTTGAATATTTTTAAAAGTCTAAAGAGATTGTGTTTCAACCCAGTTAATAAATATAAATTTATATCATAATTATTTTTCTGTTTTCTCCAAATTTCTCGCTTTTTAAGTCATTTTTTATCCCCACTCCCGGTGTACACCTGTATTTTCACAGGTTATTAAGTATGAGGAGGGGGCAAAATCCAATATTTTTATGCAATACAGTCTTAAATTTTGCTCTTTATATTTTTTTACATATTACCTCTATAAAAATCACAAAAAATCGAACACGAAATCAGAAGTCAGAGGGATTTTTTTTGCAGCACAAACTCCATAATCTCAGAATAATACGCTGATAAATATTTAACTCTTATAAATCCGGCTCCCCTCTGAGTATTTCCATGTTCTCCTCTGTGGTTTCCGGTTACAAATATGGGCAACAAATCAATAGATATGAGCAGTGAAAAAATGTTGCCTCTATTTACAGGCTTTTCATGGGAAGAAGTGAGCCCATAATGGCCTCACGTTATCTCAGCCGTTCATCAGTCCAGCACACAAACACAAAAGGCCGCGAGAGGAGCCCCGGATCCCCCAGGGTCTCGCGCCCTGAGCGGCCCGCCACAGTGAAAGTCTCATATCTCAGCCCTCTAATGACCGAGTTTGATGTCTCTCCATTTATCAGCGCGCGCGAGTCGAGGTCCCTCTCCCTCGTGCCGTGAACTGCGCCTTTTGTTGTTAATAGACCTAAATCCTCTTTAAGACGCAAATCTGCGCTCCCTGTCGCGCGTCTCCAGATCGTCCCCGCAATAAAAGTGGCGTCTACTAAAGGAGCACGTGCGTGTAACGACATAATCCACCACGGGGGCTTCCTTAAAAAAAAATCAAATTAGAGGAGAGATGAAACTTTTACGCACGGCTTTACACGTGCCATCCCACTTTGTGCTCGTACATGGAGAGTATTTATCTTTGGAGATTTTTATGCTTTAGTGTAAAATTGAGGAACATGTGCACGTGTAGTATCCAAACCCCCATTAAAACTAATTTTATAATTAACCAGGATGGATTCAACCACATTCACAGTCAAGATAGTATTGTATTAATATGAAGTGTTTTGTTTTGAGCAGTAAGAGTGAAGCTCATTTGAAATTCCTCAGTGCAACAAAATATTCATCCGGCACAATGAAGCTAAACATACCGCCAGAAGGCCCATAGGCAGCGCATATTTAATATGAATGACGAGCAGAGTGCCCAATTAAAATAATGCACAACATACCCACTTCATTCCTCCGTTTTTGCTTTTATTTATCACTTTACTAGAATTAAAGTAAGAGTAGAATTTTAGGTTATTTATGTATGTTTTAAAAAATATATATATTAATTTCATCGAGGAGTCCAATCAGCAGCAGCCTGGAGGAGAATCAGCAGAGATCCAGGGGGGGATGCTCTTTACGCAGCGACGCTCCTGTCGCTAACTGTTTAGTGGCCAAAAAACTCTTAAAGGGGCCTCCATCATATTTTCACATGGAGCTTCACCGCGCGAGCTCGACACCCCGCCTCCCCGTGCTTGCACGTGCGCTCCCGTAGAAAGAGAGAGAGAGAGAGAGAGAGAGAGAAAAAAAACACATGAATGACTTTTTAATTATTCAGTTGTTTATTTACTTTAAGTGGCATTGTTTTATTACAGAGTCCTATCACACACCAGAGTAGTTGCATGTATTAAAGCAGTATTTTTTTAATTGTACTATATTACTGAAGGCAATTATAAATATTACATTAACATTAAACACCATATGTGCCAGTTACGACTATTTTAATAGGGATCATTACCCATTTAAAAATGTTTTATATAAAAGGGACATAATTTCTTGATAATTTTTATTTGTTTAGTTACCTTTAATTAATCTACTCATCAAATACATATGGTCATTATTTGGGTTTATATTTTGGTTTTCTACTGAATATCACTTTTGTTTTGATGTCTCCATGTTACAGTCGCTTTAACACAATAAAAGAACCTATAAAATAAAAATAAAACGCTGTGCTAACTAACTCAGAGGCACATTGATAAATTTGTGTTTTTACTATTTTATCTAATCTCGAGGAAAAATTGTGATTGCACTGCAGTGTAAGACAACATGGCCGCAGCTTTCTTTCTTTCTTTCTTTACATTGAGTAAAATATCGCCCTGGCTGAGATGCAGGAGGTGACAGCTCTCTCTTTTACTGTCCATAAACCTCCTCATCCCTCGATCGCCCATTTACTGCTAATCAGGGAGCTGAGGAATTCCTCCTCTACCTGCTTGTGAAGGCTTTGGAACATTATCAAGACATCAGCAGACTTAAATGAGTCTGCGCTGGCTGGCTGCAGGAGAGCAGAGACTAACAGAGAGAGAGAGAGAGAGAGAGAGAGAGAGAGAGAGAGAGAGAGAGAGAGAGAGAGGGAGAGAGAGGAGACAGAGGAAGAGAAAGTAGAGGGGGGGGCATTCATGCAAATCAGCAAGCAAATTAGGATTGTGTTGCCCTCATTGATTGTACATCAGATTTGGACTTTTAGCGTGGTGGGTGTCAGAGCTGAGCTGTGTGAGTGAGGGTCCTGTGGCCTGTGTGAGGGTCTGACTCCCTCTGGACCTGCTCCATCCACATGTACAGACAAGAGGAAGGGGATTCATGGAGGGTCAGACACGCTGTCCTCGCTCCAACGAATGCCATAACACTGCCTCAACCTGCTCCCTCTGCGGGGCTAATCCCTCATAGATGATCCTAGATGCAGATCTTAACCTCTGGAAACCTGCCAGTTTTTTTTGTTTTTCCTACTTGTGTGATTACTCAACTACTAAATCACTTATTTATGTAAAAATCAGGCTTTGGAATTAAGAAAGGGCAGTATATATCCCTAAATATCCTTTAAAAAAATGTTTCTAGGATGATTTGGAGGGGATCTCTGCCTTCATTGGGCAAAAAAAGCCAGAAGGGGAACGTGGGAAGGACAGTGCAGCATAGGGCCGAGGGTTGAAATCCAACCAGCTGTTTCAACCAGGATTCATCCTGCTCATCTTTGGTGGACGGAGGAACAAAAACCAGCTGGCCTGAAGGTTCAAACTTTGAACTTTGTTGTTGGGCGGCAACATGGGTAACCCTTGCCCTACTGTTTCCCTTAAATATTATAAGAAAATGACACAAGTCCAAGAGAGATGTAAAGACAATAAAAGACATCTCTCTGCACCATCCTTCAGTGAAATCATAAAATATGACAAATTTGATTGTCTAAATGTTAAATTCAGCCCCCAGGGAGCAGATAGTTTCTTTGAAAAAATGGACTTTAAAAAGAAACCTCTGCACCTCTTGCTCCTAATAAAATTTCCATGACCGTGAAGCTTCTTTCAGAGCATCTCTTATCTCCAAATATCATCACCCTGTACTACGGGGACAAGGGAACAGCGAACAAAATGCAATATACCTGAATCTGATTCAGCAACGCAGAGACGCTGTACAGATGTGTGCCTGCACAGAAACAGAACAATTGGATTCTTCCCCTGGTGGATAATGTACCTGTGAGGAAGAGGAGGGTTTTACCTAGCAGAGGTGTTAATGACAGTGATTGTGTGTTTGTTTATCAGCCTCCTCTGGCTTGTCTGCAGGCTGCAGGGATCTCATGGCTGCTACATTGTCTGGTGCCTTCATTTATAGGTCCCTTTTTTTTCCCCGTTGCTTCAGCGGTCCACTGAGACTTCGGGCTGCTCTGTGTTCAAAAGCCTCGTCTGCCATCTAAATGAGGCTTTCGGGGCGAGAAAAAGAGAAAAAAATTTCAACATGAAAATACCACAATGTGCAGAAGATTAGCTCGCACTCGACTGGGATGTTTTGGGAATTTGTTGGTTCTCCTTTCTGGATTGTTATTTCTCCCTAACTGCTATCTACCCACAGGGCACCGGGGCCTCTTGTTGAGGAAAGAAAAGGCATGAAATTGACATCATATCCTTAAATGCGGTGCAGATTTGCAGGGAAAACACAGTAATCCACTGACAATGCTTGAAAACCAAACACAAACTCCTTCTCTTTTCCCCCCCGTCTCCTTCTTAACAAGCCACAGTTTTTGGACTTCAGGTTAAATCTTGGTGCTAATTTCTAGCTTCTCCTTTGATTTAAAAAAAATAAGAGTTTTTTTCCTCAAGCTCCACATAAGGATACTATTGTTCTGATGGTCAAACACTCAGGGGAAATGCAGCAATTTATACAAATCAATAGCGTTCAAATAATTCATGACTGATCACATGGTGTTTTAGCTCCTTATTTGCAGTAGAAACCCATGTTTTGTTTGGCTCCCAGAGGGCAACATGAAAGACCCGGGGAGAGGCGGTGTGTAAGGGGGGGAGGCAAGGGGGAGAATTGGGAATGGCACTGAAGAGAGAGCATGAGGATAATGGGAGGACATTGATCATTTGGTGCACAAGAAGACAACTCAAACCTGCGAGTCGGGGGCTA